GAATCACGATCTCAGTTTTGTTCAGCGCGAGTGAGAGACCGTGATCTGCCATCCATGCGTTTATAGTTCGCATGACTCGGTTTAATTTTAGCTGGGCCAGCTCAACACTACGAGCAGCTATTAAAGCTGCAATGTCATCTGCGTACCCAACTAAAACGGTTTCTTCAGGCATTTCAGACCTAAGGAGGCTGTCGTAGGCAACGTTCCAGAGGTCCGGGCCGAGTATGGAACCTTGGGCAGCACCAGAAGTGACACTCATCGTCCGCGGGCCTTCTGTAGTATCATACATGAGGAGGCGGAACCGGAGGTAATCCTCTATAATGCGCATGAGGTATGCCGGGACGTGGAAGTTGTTCTCCAGAGCGTCCAGCATATCGCACCATCTTGCAGAATTAAATGCGTTTCGCACATCGAGTGTAACGAGCAGCACAACCCTACGAGAGTAGTGATTAAAATCCTCAGCTCTCATCACGGCTTGCTTCACCTCCTCAATAGCGTCGACCGTTGATCGCCCCTTCCTGAAGCCGTATTGGCGAGGGCTCAGGTCCCCCGCAGCAACCACGGCTGAATTCAGTCGGGAACGGATCAACTTCTCTAGGACTTTCCCAGCCGTATCCAACATGCAAAGGGGTCTGTAAGAGGACGGCAATTCTGGGTCTCCTTTCCCCTTCCCTACGAGCACGAGCCTAGCTTTTTTCCAGCACAACGGAAATACCCCCTCTGCTAGGCAGGCGTTGTACATGCTCAGAAGAATCAGGGGATTGATTGAAAAAAACCTTCTTAAGAGCCTCGCCAGGTACCCCATCAGGTCCAGGAGCCTTGTTGTTTTTCAGGGATAAAACGGCAGTCTCCAGCTCCTCATGAGTGAAGAGTGGGACATCGTCCATAATCTCAAACTCACGCAGTGGGCGCAGAATATGATCCGGAAAAAGGGATTTGACGACCCTCTCCATAGCGGCCCCCTCCATGACGGAAGGTGGAGAGCGAGTGGTGAGTTTTTGGGTTACTAGTTTGTAACCCAGGCCCCACGGGTCGGAATCGACATCATCCCTTAGTGTTTTCCAGCAATTGTGTTTGCTCCGGTTGATGGCCCGGCGGAGAGACTTCCTCGCCACCTTGTAGCTCTCCAGCTTACGGCGTCTATCCAAGGGTGCCCTGGCCCTGGTAGCGAGTCGTCTAGCTCTCAAAGCAGCTCGGCGCAAATCCGCGATCTCTGCAGTCCACCAGTATACGGGTCTCCTATCGCAACGGAGTCTCTTGCGGGGCATTGACTCATCACAAGCCGAGGCAATCAGCCCCATCATCGATGTAACTATAGCCTCTGCATGAGCCATGCCAGGTGCGGCAGGCACCGCTGGCACTCCCCGCAGGATACCTGTAATACTATAGCATACCGTAAATATAAAGAACAAAATTCTCTCAAGCCTTATCCTCCCCCATTGCAAACACAAAGCTAACACTGCAATAAGCATTTTATACTTATACGCCAATCCCGTACGAAGAACGGATACTCTGCTAGTTTATATATATATATATATATATATATATATATTGAAGAAGTAGGTTCTTCTTTAACTATTTTTTTTACTTTTATGATAAAATTATTAAAGAAACTGATAGAAAATAGAATTTAATAAGCATGACAAAAACATAAGTGTATGGATTATAAAAACCAGGAATGAACTCTTAGGTAACCATGGAAACTTATTAGAGTAAACAAAAACTAAATTTAAACTATTTAAAAAAACAAATCATTGTCCAGCTGGTTGCACTCACCACAGTACCCCCCTGCTAATGATTAAACCTAAGTAAATCATGATACTTGAAATAGTACAGGAAAGCGTACATGTCTTCCAGATCTTGTCTTAATCTCAGGTTTTAATTCGCTTGAACTTGTCTTGGGAGGTTGTTTAGTATAATTAGGATCATCCATTTTTGATTTGTTGCTTTCTGTTCTGTTTGATGCACACCCATCTTTCTTGTATTCGGTCCAAAAGTATGCCGGTTTGAGTCGATCCATCGATACCGTGACATTACAGCCTTTAATCACCACAACGGCAGTCTTGGGGGTTCTGCTGATAATAGGGTAAGGGCCAGAGTATGGGGGTTCGAGAGCTCCCTTGGGGATGTCAGTCCGCACCATATACATCGATGGTCCGCACCATCGATGTATAATAGGTCCGCACAAAGACATGTGTGCATGTAGCGAGGTCCTTGAAAACGAATGGCGTCTTCTCTCCATGTCTAGTTCCACTGACTGGATGCAGGTTGTTGAAGTGCTGACGTAAGCTCTTTACGAAGTTTGGTGGATCCAGTTGAAGTCCATCTTGACTGGGCGTCATAAGCTCTCCAGGAAGTCGTAGAGGTTGACCGTAAACGAGTTCTGCAGAGGAAGCTTGCATATCTTCGCGCCACACAGCTCTGATCCCCATCAGGATCACTGGCAATACTTCGGTCCAACGATCTGTTGTGTGACACCTTATGGCTGCCTTGAGTTATCGATTAAGGCGTTCAACGAGTCCATTGGCAGCAGGGTGATAGGCAGTCGTTCGCAGACGTGTTGATCCAGTTAACTGTGTTAGCTGCTGGAAAAGAGAGGATTCAAATTGTCGACCTTGATCTGTGGTTATTCGCAGTGGCGTTCCAAACCTTGAATTCCAGTTGGTGAATAATGCACGAGCTACAGTTTCAGCTTCTATGTTCTTAAGTGGAACTGCTTCAGGCCAACGTGTAAATCTGTCAACACAAGTCAAACAATACCTGTAACCTTCCGAAACAGGTAATGGACCAACTAGATCAATATGGATGTGTTCGTATCTAGAAGATGTTGGAACAAACTTACCAACAGGGGTTGAACTGTGACGTGTTATCTTTGACTTCTGGCAGGAGAGGCAGGAGCGAGCCATAGAACGACAGTCCGATTTCATTGAAGGCCAAACAAAACGTTGGCTAACCAGTTTTGTGGATGCTTTTATCCTGGGATGAGACAGGTTGTGTAAGCTGTAAAAAACATTTATTCTAAATTGTTTTGTGACAAAAGGACGGGGGTTTGAAGTAGATACATCACAATAAAGCGAGACTTCCGTTCCTGGTAGCAGCACTTGCTTTAGCTTTAGGTTGGATTCCGTTTCTAGATAGTGTTGTAGTTCTTCATCCTGAGCTTGAGACTCTGCCAAAGCCTGGAAATTCAAGGGGAAAGTGACTTCTTATATCCTAGAGAAGGTATCTGCAACTGCGTTTTCTTGTCCAGAAACGTGGCGAATGTCAGTTGAGAACTGTCCAATATATTCCAAGTTACGGAACTGTCTTGGAGAACATTTATCAGGTTTTTGACGGAAAGCAAAGGTCAGAGGCTTGTGATCTGTAAAAATGATTAATTGTCTTCCTTCTAGCATATGTTTGAAATACTTAATGGCAAGATAAAATGCTGTTAGTTCTCTGTACTGTACTTCTGTTGAGTTGGACTTAACTTTTTGGAAAAGAAAGATAGTGGTTGCCAGTTTTGCCCTACCTTTTGTTGCAATACACTTCCTACAGCATAGTCTGATGAATCGCAGAAGATTGCAAGTGAGGCATTCGGTGCAGGATGAGACAACATAACGGCATCACTGAGGCTTTTTTTACAAGTTTCAAAAGCTTGTTCACTTTCTGTAGTCCAATTAATAGGCATATTACCTTTTATATTGGCTTTCAGAAGGTCGTTTAGTGCGCTCTGCTGGGACGCTGAATGGGGTAGGAATCTACGATAAAAGTTTAGCATACCAGTGAATCTTATTAATCCTTCACAGTCTTTGGTTTGGGGTAACAGTCAAGAGCTTTCACTTTTTCAGGTAAGGGTTTTATCCCTTCTCCGGAAACTTGATATCCGAGAAAACTAACCATGGGAACACCTAGGTTGCACTTACTTGGGTTGACAAAGACTCCGAAAGAGGATAGGCGGCCAAAAAATTGTCGTAAGTGAATGAGGTGTTGCTCTTCGGATTCTGAAGCTACGAGAATGTCATCAATGTAAGCGTAACAGAAGTCCAGGCTACTGAGTACACCATCAATGAAACGTCGAAAGGTTTGGGCAGCATTGCAAAGTCCAAAAGACATGAAAGGAAATTCGAAAAGACCAAAAGGTGTTGTTATAGCAGTCTTATGAATGTCATCAGGAGCTACAGGGATCTGGTGGTAAGCACGAACAAGATATATAGTAGAGACAACTTGTTTATCATGCAAATTTAGAGAAAAGTCCTGAATGTGAGGAATAGGGTAGCGATCAGGAATGGTTCTGGCATTCAGAGCTCTGTAGTCTCCACATGGTCTCCATTCGTCTCCTTTTTTTGGAACCATATGAAGAGGGGATGACCAGCTGCGAGAAGAAGGTCTAGCTATACCTAACTGGACCATAACCACAAATTCTTTTTTGGCTAGCTTTAACTTGTCCGGGGCTAGACGACGGTGTTTGCTAAAGACTGGTGGTCCTGGGGTTGTCTGGATGTGGTGTTCTGTTTGGTGTTTGACAGGGACAGAAGGTTTACTTGCCGGTCGAATAAGGGACGCATATGATTGAAGGAGCTGCATGTAGACATTTGGTTGGTTTGCATTTATTGCTTTAATACCACTTTCTAAATTGGAGAATGTTGCGCGACCCGTGAAAACGAGAGAGGTTACCTGATCAATCAAACACTGACGCCAAACATCCACTAATAGATCATAATGATGAAGAAAGTCAACTCCAATGATCGGTTTGGCAACATCAGCTATGATAAAACGCCACACAAATGCTCGACGTAGGCCTAGGTCCAAAGATAAGGTATGCAACCCGTAAGTGGCAATTTCGGTGTTGTTTGCTGCGTATAGTGTATAGTCAGATTTGAGTATTTTACCTGAAAGCATTTTTCGTGGATACACACAAACATCTGCTCCAGTGTCAATGAGGAACTGTTGTTTTGTTACCTTGTCTGTGACGAAGAGGCGGCGAGATGTCTGTAGATCGTAGGAGTCGCTGGCCGCCATTAGAGACTCCCAAGATCGTTTCCCGAGTTGTTGGCTTGGAAACTGCAAGGCCTGGTGCACTTAGTTGCTGCATTACCGAATCGCTTGTGGTACCAGCAAACATCGTCTCTTGTCGTGCTCTTGGAGCGTGATCTCGATCGCCGAACCGGACTTGAACTCCATGTTGGACGACGATTTTGATTACACCACAGATCTTCTTTGATAGATGAAATGTCATGCTGAAGAGTGCTTACGATTTCACCCATTTTAGATGTCATCAGGATCGTCAGTCGCTCCATCATTGCTTCTATGGAGTTGGGACTGTAAGTAGGGACAGCTGCTTCTGTAACTTGATGTCGCGGACTAATTTCAAGCACGGCGTCAGCCAACTCGGCTAGTGCATCAAGCTCAGACGACCTTTGTGTTGCTAAAATGGCTTGAGTGGATGAAGGCAGACGACTCAACCACAGAGTTTTCATAACAGAGTCAGGCACAACGGTACCAGCCAAAGCGCGAAGATGTCTGAGGAACTGCGAGGGCTTACGGTCTCCCATTTCTTCATGTTCTAGGAGACGTCTGGTCTTCTGTTCCTGTGAAGAACTTAGGCGTTGTATTAATTCTGTTTTCAGTTTTTCGTATTTTCCCTCGGTTGGTGGTTTTGTGAGGATGTCTCTCACTTCAGCAGCGTATTTAGCATCAAGGTTTCCACAAACATAAAAGAATTTTGTTTCATCAGATGTGATCCGAGCCAAAGAGAATTGGGTCTCGACCTGCGCAAACCACAGCTTAGGATCTGCTGGCCAAAATTGTGGAATCTTCACAGTAATTCGTTCTAGGGAGTTACCTTCTTGAGTAGTAGCCATTGTATTGTAATTTTGCTAAATTTTGGTAAGAAATGATCACGTCGGGGTCACCACTGAAGAAGTAGGTTCTTCTTTACCTATTTTTTTTCTTTTATGATAAAATTATTCAAGAAACTGATAGAAAATAGAATTTAATAAGCATGACAAAAACATAAGTGTATGAATTATAAAGACCAGGAATGAACTCTTAGGTAACCATGGAAACTTATTACAAGAAAACAGAAACAAAATTTGAACTATTTAAAAAAACAAATCATCGTCCAGCTGGTTGCACTCACCACACACACACACACACACACACACACATATACATATATATATATATATATATATATATATATACATATATACATATATGAATTTGAACGGATATTGCTTTTGGCCTCTAGGGATTTTAAAACGAAAAAGCAAATCGGTCCCGGGTCCAGGTCTTACCATGAGTACTACGGTAATAGTTTATTCCCTATATGGTAAAAATTCGCTAAAAAGAGGTTGGCGGCCTCTTTAACCTTCACACCTTTACCTTTTAACATTACAAGCGTACTTATTTATTTTAATACCATGACTAATTGTTCATCCAGTTAAACTATTACTAGGTGGACCCAGTAGATATATTTTTTGGAGAAAGTGAATTACAGGACCAGAGAACTTTGGCCTGTTAACATAATTTGGCCATTTAAATTAATAACAGTACGTTAAATCACGATATAGTTTCTGGAACCATATAGTCCCTGTTAGCAACTAGTAAAGTTATAAAGGGGCACTTCAGACTGCTTAAGGCATAACTTGTACATTGAAATATGTATTCTCTTGTACAAGTTATTTACAATTCTCTACTTCAAGTGTTTGATTTTAAATATGTGTTGAACGGAAAAAGTGTTAGACATAAGAAAACAATTGGTATTTAATTTTACGTAGTAGATTCACATATATATTACAAAGTTACTTAAGGAATATTCAGTGGTGAAAAACATATTTCCACTAGTTGAGCCGTTTTAGTTAGCTTTGCCGTTATTCAAGGGTTTATTCGGTTTGAAACTCTAACAAAAGCAAACTCCCAGAGGAGGCGGTGATGTTACATTCCAGATGCATTACCTCGCCACATCTTTGTCAATTTATTTCCTTCCCTGGCTAAGACTATTATCATTTATTGTAAGTTTCTTGGATGGTTAACATGAGACCTTAAACGTATAAATCATTATGCAGTGTACACGTATAGTGCAAATATCAGATTTTAAATGTGTTCCATCTTAGTTCCAGCTTTTTCGTCACTGTAGATTCCAGTGGTACATTTTATCTTTATAATAATATTAAGCAGTTAAAAATAACTCGACACACACTGGTAAAATTTAATGGATATTTACTTTTTAAAAAATATATACCTTTTTTATTTAGTTTATAAAGTCCAAAGTCATATCCAGTCGTTAGGATTTAGAGCTGCCTTGAATATTATTTGTGGGGAGACATGATTTAGTCATGGTTAGTTTTATTTATTATACACTACCCAGTACCCCTGTATAGGCCAATCACCGGAGAGTAGGTAGGCAAGATTCGAATTAGAATTATTATTCTTCAACACCGCTCTAGCAGCTAAGATGGTGTTTGCTGTGATAACCTATCATTTGGTGATTTCCCTCAGATGGTAGGATCCTGTATAAATTACTCCAATGCATGGTAATAACAAATTATAATTTTATTCTTCTAAATAATGGAAATCCTTTATAATCTTCCTTATAAATGATAATATTACTATATCAGTAATTAAATAAGGCAACAGTCTTACTTGGTAAAATTCCTATGATCTGACTGGCTTAAATAGGCTGTGATTCCCAGTTCCTACGCACTATGACTTGAACTCGTCTGTAACAATTTCAAAAGAAATAATACCAGGTAAACTAAAGTAATACTAATTTCACATAGTTGAGGCAAACAGAATTAATTTAAGGGGATTTTACAATTTACAAAATATTCTCAGAACATGTGCTTTTTCATCCAAATGTAACATGAAAATTGAATATTTAATATTTGACAATTACAGTGTTATTAACTGACAGACAATCAAAAGACTATATATAATCGTAGGTAAAAACATGGCAATCAAGATTATTTACAATACAAACCACATAAATCAATTTTCTTATTTTTTAAATGTTTTCTACTTACATTTTCATGAGTTTGTACAATTTTAAAGGGAATCAGCCAACTAAGAAAGATTTGAAGAAACAGCTCATTACAAAAATGACTTAAGTTAATTAACAGCTGTTCTCCAGTTCTGCCAACAAGGTGAAGTGTAATATAGTGAAACTAGTTAGCCATTGATCATGATATTCTATGTACATTATATATTCTATGAATTAAAATAATTTAAGTTTAATAAACATTTCCCTTACATCAGTATATTATATAGTTTTAATAACGAGTAAAAAACCTTATATTATTGAAAACATCTTACTTTAGATGCTATATTTATGTTTTGTTTTGCGATTTATACAATATTTTATTATTTAAATAGCATATTATTTTATCAATATTTCAGAATATGTTCCCATACCAATTTTAAATAAAAAACTTTAATTTAATTAAAATTATTAAAAAAGTTATTATTAAATAATAAACATATCCTGGGGTAATGAAACAAAATTATTGACTAAACATAGTGTCAGATGATATGATCTTTTAGGTAATGAATGCATAACACTGATATTGAGGAGAGCTTTATTATTAATTATTTACGAACGCCACTGTGTTTGGCAGGAATCTAATTTTAAAAAGAGTAATTAAATCTAGCATAATATCACAGTTTACATTGTTTTAATATCCAACATAACCTCATATTCAATTGATAGTTTATCATCTTTGTAATTTAGCTATGATGGATATTGTATGTTGTTTTTTATACCAAGTACCTCTTAATTACTACAATTCGATACTTGGATACAACTGGCAATGTATACACTTGGAAAGTATAAATAAAATGCATACCCGTTGAAGAAAATGAAACTCCTGATGAAATAAAATCTTTAATACTTGTATAAAGACTGGAACAGGTGGCGTCGTCCTGTAATCCAGTTACTAGGAGGTCACGAATTGTGGATATCTATAGGCATGCACTGTGGATGTGATACTCCCTGGTGTGGATTAACGTCCGCACGAGTGAGTGCTGCGACTATCCGCAGTACTATCCTGATAATTAGACCAATTCGTATATACCAAGGAAAAAATGTGGTTCGGATTCCACTATAAATTGTAGGTCCCTTAGTTGCCATTAGATGTAAGGGCTATTAATTACCAGCTGTGTCTTAGTCTTAGGAATGCCGGCCTTAGTCACTAACAAGACTACAATATCGCGCCACTCACCCTACACTCATCTTTATTCATACTTGGCTTAAAATACCTACTATTAATGGTCGCCATTTCATCGAACAGTATTAACAGTAAACTACTTACCTTTGTAATATTGCATACTGTACAGTACTTTGATCAAACGCGTCCTATAGAATGAATAGTCACTCTATACATTGCTTCAAGTTTTTTCCATGGTATGGAATTCGGTAATAACTGTAAGGTTTTATACACTTTTACAAGGTATTGTTTGTCATGCCGAGGCATTACATAGCATATAGCCATGATATATTCTCAAAGGCGCATCAGGCAGAGAATAAAATATCTGAGTATAAAATTTACTTTTTGTTTTAATAAGGATAAGATATTTGCAAGAAAAATATTTATATTACAATGTTGCAATATTTTGTATAATGGTTAAGGTTAAGATATATAGATGACCTAAAATTTACGTGCATAATCAAACCAGACAATAATTTGTATGATTGTACTCTAGTTTGAATGTTAATTATGTCACACGATCTGTAATCTAAGTTGTGTCTTCGAGGAAGTGTTACGTAATAAAATTTTGGAAGTAAAAAATTTATTTGTTTTATTCTGAAAAGTAGGAAGTAGACAGATAAAAGAGCAAGTAAATATAAGAGAGACGAACGATGTGACACAGCGTGGCTTCAAACGTGACGAGAATCAGTCGATACATCCTCTAGTTCCATGGTCTACGGGAGTCTTATGTTGAGCTTGAAATGTTGACTTCGATGGAAAGAGCTTTACGTCTTCTTTAGATACATTTTAAAGCCTCAAAGGTGGAAATTACACCTTAATTACAACACACATACACACCCCCCCCCCCCACCCCATACACACACAGACATCACTTCGAAAACCACTTTTTTGGGTCCAGGGGGACCCAAAACGAATATATCCACTCAAAACTCAAACTCGAAAATTTTGACGAAAACAGTACTTTCTCCATATACTATGGTATAGGTGGAGAAAGTAAAAGGTTACGCTTGCTCAAGACAATAGTAAAGTGGAGACAACTATTGATGCTATTAATTTGCAATAAAATCGATTTGTTGAAGTATACAACCACGCCATAAAAAGTGATTTAAAAATATCAAGCAAATTAGAATTATTATCAAATACCCCCACCGCAGCAAACATGCCGACTAAGCGAATTTCCATCTGCTTAAATTGATATCAAATTAAATCTATTTATATAACATTAGGTTTAACGAGGACGAGTTTGCTGCTACGGGGAAACTGATAAAGTGTGTTTTTTTAGTAAAAATATCAATAACTTAGTAAGATTGAATAAAATTATCAAGATTGTTCAAAATATATCCATAAACAAAAAACTACAACATTTTACAATATCTATCCATCTATATAAATAAAATTACAGTTTTGTCTGTACATTTCTTTGAATCTATAGTTTTTGGTTGTTTTTACGTTTTGTAGCCTTAAGAAAGCCGAAACGAGTCTTATCACAATGTCTGCCCGTCTGTCTGTCTGTATGTATGTCTGTTCTCTGTCATTCTGTCTGTAACGCCAAAATGCCAATTTACGCGGTCTACTCCGAGAAAATTGAGTACCGATTAATATTCAAATCATTTTTCTGCATTCACTGAATTAGTGAGAGTGTCTTTGACTATTCA